TATATATATACATATATATAAATATATATATATATATATTTTTATATGTATGTGTATATATATATATATATATATATATATATATATATATATATATATATATATATATATATCACATAAGTAGCAGTATATAAAAATATATAATTTTTTTATTTATTTTTTTGTGTAAATTAAAGGTATTTGGAGTAAATTAGAGGATTTTATTTATTTTCTACACGTTTTTGACAGTCTGATGCGATATATTATAAAAGCATGGTATGGAAATCTGATTGTTTAATCAAAATCAAAACTTACTAAACTAGACTGTTTTAAATATTGTAGATTGTGAAGGGAACGGACATATTTAAGAAATGTATGAGGTAGCTGCTGGAAGGAAATGTCATTTGTGATGATACACACGTTTTACATGAGAATTTTTGAGTGGGATTAAGGATTGTGGTGTGTAAACGGGATCATTATAAGAGCTCCTTTGTGCCGACTGCTGTTAAAATTAGATTGGTTCATTAGATATTTCCAAGTGTACCTAACAAGAGTGACTTTTTGGGGGGGGTTGTTTTATTGCAGTGTCTCTCCTTACATTTTTAGAAGTGGCTTGCTCTTTTAATTCGCAGGTCTGATGATGCAGTTTGCCATTTTTTTCTGCCAAGAAAGAGTGTGTGACGCCACAAAGATGCCAAAGGAACTGACTTACACAAATGAGACGTGCAATGAGCTTTCATTCTCATGTTGACTGAGTATCAGACTATTTGTTTGTTTGTTTCTTTGACTAAAATGTTTTGCAAAGATGATGTCACGTTATGCACCCTTGAATTATTATTATTATTTTTTTTACATCAAAGCCTGTCATGTTCATTTGGCAGCATCAAAAATGGCACAAGTGCTGTTTACTGCCAGTCAACGGGATGTGTACGTTATTTTAAAGTTTTAATTCTGTTTACGTTTATTCATTATGCTGATAAAACATCTCTCGAAGTTCCTCCAGTTTTTCAAGCTTGCCTGGAAATCAGAAATCAGTATAGCTTCATGATAAAATGCACTTTAACTGAGTCAGAATCACTGGAGACATAATCAATGCATTTGATTTTTATATTTTATCAAATTTTAAATGTTGTGTTAAATATAGTCGCCTGCTTTTTATTATGGAACACTTCCTGACAAAAGTCTTGTCGCCTATCCAAGGTTTAGGAACAACAAATAATAACTTGACTCCTAGTTGATCATTTGGTATGAGAAGTGGCTTATATGAAAGGCAAAGGCCTCTAGATTACACTTATTTTATCAAAATAAAATATGATCATGCCTTGATTTTGACTTATTTTATTAGGACTGTACGGTCTGACTTTGCTTAGACAAAAGTCTTGTCATGTAACAGAAATAATGTCCAGTATAGAGAATAAAGTCCTGCTGCAGTGGAGACGGAATGAATATTGTGTCTGACTCCATCATGAGCTTGGAGGACTGCATCCATACATCTCTGCACTGACTCAAATCACTGATTAATAAAGTCATCTGGAATGGCAAAGAAAGCGTTCTTGCAGGACTCCCAGAGCTCATCAAGACTCTTTTGAATTTATCTTCAAAGCCTCTTCCTTCATCTTACCCCAGACATGCTCAATAATGTTCATGTCTGGTGACTGGGCTGGACAAGACTTTTGTCAGGTAGTGTATAAAAAGTCCTTTTTCTTTTGATTGTTTTATTCCATTTCATTTAGCATATGCTGTTCATTTAAACCCAACTTATACGTATAATTGGATGGTAATTAGATTGTTTTCAGTTCACTCTATTGTTTTATATTTTGTCTTTAATTGGAGCTTGTGAGCGAAGCTGATTTTTGTTTTGTTGTTATTCATTTCTTTCCCATGTCTTCAGAGTCCTGCCAAGAACACTTTTACAAACAACAATCAGAGCTATAATAATGTATAATAATAAGTCATGTTGAATGTTCAATTGTCAATGTTTATTTTTAGACTTCAGCTGTGTAAATGCTGCTTGAGGAAAAAAAAGTTTACCTGTTTAATGCTGGGAAATGGGAGATTTGTTTTATATAAATGAATTGCAATCAAGGGATATTTTCATTAAATATTTTTCTAACTGGGAAGCAAGTTCATTGACAGCACATCAGTCATTGAAAGGCTGTGTAAATGTTTCTGGATTCAAAGTGTAAAATGTCTAATACCAAAAATGTTTAATATCAAACTAAATCAAGTCCAGTCAATCAAATCCAAGTCATGTCAATACAATGTAAAAGCGACATATAAGGACTGTTGAGCCAAATGGTTTTAATAGCTCAGGTCCCCCAAATTACTAAATCCACCCCTGCTGATACTAACATCTAAAAAGCTTGATTTTAATTTACAAAAATTGAGTGTAAATGACTGGACGACTCTGAATGACCCACATGTGTCCAGTCCAACTCAACTCAAAAGTCATGTCAAGTCAAACACAACATAAAAAACTGTGTATTGGCCTAAAAAAAATCACAAAAGTGTGAATCACTGAATGAATCCGAATGACCCATATGTGTCCAGTCCAAGTCAAGTCGACTCAAGTCAAGTCAAAAGTAAAGTCCAGTCAAAAGTCAACCCAAATCAAGAGTCAACTCAAATCAAGAGTCAACTCAAATGTCAAGTCACGTCAAGTCAAGTCAAACACAACACAACACAACAAAATGCATATTATCCCTGTTGGGCTTTAAAAAATCTCAAAAATTGAGTGTGAATGACTGAATAAATCTGAATGATCCACGTGTGTCCAGTCCAATTTAATTCAAGTCAATTCAATTAATTTCAGTCCAAGTCAACTCAAGTCAAATATAAAGTCCAGTCAAAAGTCAATTCAAGTCAAAAGTCAAGTCACGTAAAGTCGAGTCAAACACAACACAACTCAAAAATGACCTATTATGCCTGTTGGGCCTAAAACAAAATCACAAAAATGATGCGTTTATGACTGAATTAATCTTAATTACCCACATGTGTCCAGTACAGTCAATTCAATTCTATTCAGTCCAAGTCAACTCAACTTAAGTCAAACGTCAAATCAAAAGTCAATTTAATTACATTTGGTCAACTCAACTCAGATCAAAAGTCAAGTAAATTCAATTCAATTTGGTCCAAGTCAAGTCAAATGTAAATCCAGTCAAAAGTCAAGTCACATCAAGTTAATAGTAAAGTCACATGAAGTTAAGTCAAGTCACACACAACACAACACAAAACTTGTATTTTTTCCCTGTTGGGCCTAAAAGAATCACAAAAATTGAGTGTGAATGTCCCGCATGTGTCCAGTCCAATTTAGTTCAAGTCAATTCAGTTCAATTTGGCCAAGTCAAGTCAATTCCAGTCAGAGGTCAACCCAAATGGAAAGTCAAGTCATGTCATGTGAACTTGAGTCAGAAGTCAAATCAAAAGTTGTCAATTCAATTCAGTTTGGTCCAAGACAACTCAACTCAAGTCAAAAGTAAAGTCCAGTCAAAAGTCAAGTAAAGTCCAGTCAAAAGTAAAGTCCAGTCAAAAGTCAAGTAAAGTCCAGTCAAAAGTAAAGTCCAGTCAAAAGTCAAGTAAAGTCCAGTCAAAAGTAAAGTCCAGTCAAAAGTCAAGTAAAGTCCAGTCAAAAGTAAAGTCCAGTCAAAAGTCAAGTCAACTCAAGTGAAGTCAAAAGTAAAGTCCAGTCAAAAGTCAAGTCAACTCAACTCGAGTCAAAAGAAAAGTCCAGTCAAAAGTCAAGTCAACTCAAGTCAAGTCAAAAGTAAAGTCCAGTCAAAAGTCAAGTAAAGTCCAGTCAAAAGTCAAGTCAACTCAAGTGAAGTCAAAAGTAAAGTCCAGTCAAAAGTCAACTCAACTCGAGTCAAAAGTAAAGTCCAGTCAAAAGTCAACTCAACTCGAGTCAAAAGTAAAGTCCAGTCAAAAGTCAACTCAAGTCAAAAGTAAAGTCCAGTCAAAAGTCAAGTCAACTCAACTCGAGTCAAAAGAAAAGTCCAGTCAAAAGTCAAGTCAAATCAACTCAAGTCAAGTCAAAAGAAAAGTCCAGTCAAAAGTCATGTCAACTCAAGTCAAGTCAAAAGAAAAGTCCAGTCAAAAGTCAAATCAACTCAAGTCAAGTCAAAAGAAAAGTCCAGTCAAAAGTCAAGTCAATTCAAGTCAAGTCAAAAGAAAAGTCCAGTCAAAAGTCAAGTCAACTCAACTCGAGTCAAAAGTAAAGTCCAGTCAAAAGTCAAGTCAATTCAAGTCAAGTCAAAAGAAAAGTCCAGTCAAAAGTCAAGTCAACTCAACTCGAGTCAAAAGTAAAGTCCAGTCAAAAGTCAACTCAAGTCAAAAGTAAAGTCCAGTCAAAAGTCAAGTCAACTCAACTCGAGTCAAAAGAAAAGTCCAGTCAAAAGTCAAGTCAACTCAACTCGAGTCAAAAGAAAAGTCCAGTCAAAAGTCAAGTCAACTCAAGTCAAGTCAAAAGAAAAGTCCAGTCAAAAGTCAAGTCAACTCAACTCAACAGTCTAGTCAAGTCAAGTCAAACACAACACAAAAATTGTATCTTATGCCTGTTGGGCCTAAAAAATAAATCACAAAAAATTGAGTGTGAATGACCCACATCTGTCCAGTCCAGTCCAATTCAAGTTAACTCAATTAAGTCCAAGTCAACTGAAGTCAAGTCAACTTAACTCAATTTAATTCAAAAGTCATGTCATGTCATGTTAACTCACTTAAAAGTCAATTCAAAAGTCAAGTCAAGTCAAAAGTCATCAGGTCAAGACAAAAGTCAACTCAAACACAGCACAAAATAGAATATTATGTCTGTTGGGCCTACATTTTTTTTAAAATTGAGTGTGAATGAATCTGAATGACCCACATGTGTGCAGTGTGTTTGGCCATAGAGAGAGAGAGAGAGAGAGAGAGAGAGAGCGGTGTTGTGATGACAGCAGCTGATCCTGTCTGAATCCTCTTGGCTCGTGCCCTGTCGGTGCCCGCTGTGCCCACACTGGCAGCAGCTCCGGCCGCTGTCCACAGGGCGACTCCTGCCAACTCTCGGCCTATTGAGATTCAGTCTGACGGACACAAATGCGAGCGACAGACTTGCTGCATCAACAGCAATCGACGGCCGGCCCATTTCTGCTGCTGTGGACGGAATTAAACCATAAATACCCCCCAGGTCCCGTTCACTCGCCCGGCACACCCTCACCTCCAGACGCACTCACACAACACACACACAACACACACACACATTCGAGTGGAGGGAGAACTGCTGAAGCTGGAGACGGCAAAAAAGAAAGGTAAAGATGCATCTGACTTACTTTTTCACATGCATGCTGATCTAAAAAGAGAAAATAATCTATATTATTGCTTACATGTTGTCTTAATTTGCATTCTAAAGAGGCGTTTATAGATTAATTAATTGTTTCATTTCATTCATTAAATCGCGCATTTAAATTCATATTTTTCGTCATCCGTTTGAAAAGGCTCCGATTTATGAGGCCCAATTTTAATGGAAAATTCTTTGCTACCTGGGAAGTCTTTCTCGGATACTTAGACCTGAAACATGCTCAATCCAAATCCAGCATCAGTCATGAAATCTGACTGGCACACTACCTTTTTTATGACTAATGTAACAATACATTTCTAGTTTTTTATGTATCTTTAACAGCAGAGCCCACATGCGTGACAGTTCATATTATACTTTCCTGCAAAGTTTGTATATTTTGAGACAACGTTGTTTGTCTGTTCTGTTGTACTTAAAAAAAAACTTTAAATAAAAGTATTAAAAATAAATAGATAAATAAATCATGTTTTCTATAGGACGCTTACAATGTTATATTTTTGTGTATATACATTCGATTAATCTGTACCAAAGGCAAATCTGGAGCTAATCTAATAAAAAATTTAAGATATTGTTTCATTTGTTATTTATTATTATTAAAAGAAAAAAATGTTACGCATTATTTTATTTATCTATGTGAAATTAACGAATTCGCATGTATTATATTTTTATTTCTAAAGATGTTCTAATTAAAATATTAATTGAATAAATGTTTTATAGTATATAAATATAGTTTATTAAATCTGTTTTGTTTAAATGCATCAAAATATAATACTTTATATTATCATATGTTAATGAACAAAATATGTGGTATATTACCGAATATAACTATATATTACTGTACAAAATATATTACCATATGTTAATGTACAAAATATATGGTATATTACTATATATTACTGTAAAAAATACATTATGGTATATTAATGTACAAAATATATTACTGTATATTAATCTATATTACTGTACAAAATTTATTGCTGTATATTACCATATATTGATGTACAATATATATAGGATTTTACTGTATATTGTGGTATATTACTGTGCAAAATATATTACTGTATTTTACCTTATATTAATATACAAAATATGCAGTATATTACTGTACATTACTCTATATTAATGTACAAAAACTATTACTGAATTTTACCATATATTAATTTACAAAATACACAGTATATTATTTTATATTACTATACAAAATCTATTATTGTATATTACTCTATATTAATTACACAAAACATACAGAATATTACTGTACAAAATATATTAACATACATTATAATATAGTAATGTATACATTATAATATAGTAATGTACAAAATAAACATTATCTTACCAAATATTACTGTACAAAATATATTACTGATAATTACCATATATTAATGTACAAAATTCACAGTATATTACTCTATATTACTATACAAAATATAATACTGTATATTATACAAAATATACTACTCTATATTACCGTATATCAATGTACAAAATGTACAGTATTACCGTACAAAATATATTACTGTATATTATTGTATATTCATGTAAAAAATATACTGTATATTACCGTATACTACTGTACAAAATATATTACTGATAATTACCATATATTCATGTACAAAATACACAATATATTACTGTATATCATTATACAAAATATATTACTGTATATTATTGTTGTACTCAATACTGAGCACTGTGCTGAGTGCTATATATATATATATATATATATATATATATATATATATATATATATATATATATATATATATATATATATATATATATATATATATAAATATATATATATAAATATATATTATTTTTATATATATATATATTTTTATATA